TGCCCCGGGCCGGGCCAGGGTCCCCCCCCGCCTCTGCGCGCCCTGAGCATCCCGGGCTCGGGGCTCGGGACCGAGGTTCGGGACTGTGACCTTTCAACCCGAGTCCTTGCCTCCAGGGCGCTTTTGGCTCCTCCCAGATGTACAACTGCAGCTTTGGGCCCAGCTTCCGGGGCCCCGGACCGGGAGGGGTTGTCAACTACAACCAGATGCCCCTGGGGCCCTATGTGACCGGTAGGTGCCCGTCTGCTCCGGGCCGCATGCACCAGGCGTCCCGCGGGGTCCCCGCCGGCCGGCCGGCCGCCGCCCCCCGGGGCAAACCGAGGTCTCCTCTCTCTCCGGCAGACATCTAGCCGCCCCGGGACATCCCTGTCTTGCAACGCTCACCCCCAGCTGAGGTAAGGCCGCCCCTGGACGCCCAGCGCCCCTCGCGCCCTCCTCGGCTCGGCAGGTCGGGCCTGGCCGGAGTCAGCCTGGCGGTGACCCCTGAGCCTCGGGGTCTTCGCTGCCTTCTGGGGCTCTGAGGGTCTCGCCAGTGTGCCTGGAACCCCCCCCCGGCCCCGCCCCAGCCTCCTCTGCCCCGGGGACCATCTTGGGAGCGATGCGTCTGCCCAGGTCTCCAGGTCACAGGGGGGTGTGCTCCTGTGCGAGTACACGTGTGTCCATGGCGGCGAGTCGGGGACCGCCGCCTGTCCCCAGCCCAGAGCCCTGCCTCCACTCTCCTGTCTCCAGGGCCCTGCTGCCTGGCGGGCGCCCCGGGACATTCCCTCCTGTCCCGCCCGTGCGCCCAGCCCAGGACCAGGACGGCGCTTAGGTTGGGGGGGGCCAGGAGAGGGGCGCTTCTTCCACTCCACCCCGGCCCCCACCAAGCCCTGACGGTCCCGTGCGAACTTCGCTCCAGGATGGAGCTGCGGAGGGGAGGGGTTTCCGGGCCGGCCGCCCCCGGGGGCTGTCCACTCCTAGGGCCCTCTCGGGCACCCTGGGGGCCTTGGCGAGGGAGTCCCCTCTGATTGCAGCTGCCCATGACAGGCAGCGGGCGGGGCGGCGACAGGGTGTGGGATGTCCCCCACGATGGAGACCTGACCGCCTGCCTCCATGTGTGACCCGCGATCTGCCTCTTGCAGCCACGCCTGCCGGGCCGCCTGCCGGACCCCCACAGGGGAGAAAAGCTGCCGCCTTTTTAGGAGCCGTTGTCACCGTGGGACAGGAAGGGAACCGGAGTGACGCCATCGCCTGGGGGATGGGGCCGGCCCAGCTGTGCCGGAGCCCAGAACTGCCACCGCATCATAACCCAAGCGTTCCCCCCAGCGCCACACCCACACCGCACGGGACGCGCCCCCGCCCCCCCCGGGCCCCCTTTGCCACGGCGACTTCTTAGCGGAGATTCTGTTTATTTGTACATCTCTTGCGCTTTCCTATTGAAGACTTGATTGCGTTTGTCCGGGTGAGAGTTGAGTGGCGTGCGGAGGAGTGGAACCTGCAGCCCGCACGCCTCTGTCTGTCGTCGGGCCCCGGGCTGGACGGACCCCGCCCCTCCCCGAAGCCCCGCCGCTGCCCTGGACGTGACCCAGCTGGGAGGACGGAGCGCCGCGTCGGCCCCGGAGCTCTCGGTGCACTCCTGTCCATCCTGCTCACCCGCTGCTGTGTCCCCTGCCCGTGCGGAGCCCCCGGTGCGGGGCGGGTCAGGACTGGGGGGCAGCCGCCCAGCTCCGTGGTGGACACCTGGCTGATGCCTGGGTGATGACAGGAACTCCCCCTCCTGCCAGGGCTGGAGGCCACCGGGTGTGTGCGGTCTCCTGGGGGGAAGGGCGCCAGCAGGTGTCCGTCCCTGGACTCTGTGCGCTCCTGGGAGTGGGGGAGGGCCCGAGCACGCCGGCGGCAAAGGGGCTGTAGAGCCGTCCTCTCGGCCCCCTGCTGGGCGTGGTCCGGGCAGGTTGTCGTTAGTGTCTTAGCTGAGAGGCCGCAGCAGCATGGAGGGTGGCGCAGGGGCCCTGGCCCTGCCCTGTGTCCCGGGAGGTGGTCACGCCAGGTCTGGGCCTGCAGACGCGGAGGGGCCAGGCTGCCCCGGAGCACCGACTCATCCCTGTTTTTGTCTGTGGAGACGACTCGACCCAGGCTCTGGTCACCCCTCGCAGGGCCACCGACGCCCTAGATGTGTTCTCAGAGGGCTTGAGAGAGCTGCACTCGGGGGGCAGGGGACTGTCCCTCCTGGGGCATCCCAGGCCCTCCTCTGCCCGGCCAGGGTCCCCGGTGACGGCCCCAGGCGTGGGGTCGGGGGTGGGCCAAGGCCGAGCCTGTCCGTCTGATGCTGGGCCTGGATTTTGGGGCCTTGGGTTTCCTGGGGAGATGCCCTGGGAGAGGATGCTGTTTGAGTGACAGGCAAGCTGGGCCTGGGGGTGGGGGTGCCGGGAGGGGGCTGGGCTCAACTCCCCGGGCCAGGACTGGGGCCGGGGTTTGGCGGCTCCCCTTGAGGACCGCCGGGTGACTGGCCGGCCCTCATGGAGCCCCAGACATCCTCGTCTGTGAATGGTTCTCTCTGAACCCCGGAGGGCTGGACCCCCAAGGCCCCTTTCCCCTAGGCAGCTCTGCACCCCATCCTGGTCAACGTCTCCCAGGCAGCCCCGGGCCTGGCATTGCATGTGGGTGGAGCGGGGAGGGTCCCGGAAGCGGCCTGCAGGTTTGCAGGGCACACGTGGCAGCAGCCGGCCCCGCCCCCGGGGATGGCGAGGTCCTTCCCGCTCGCTGTGGCTCACATGCACGTGTGTGTGTGTCCTCCCGGCCAGTGCCTCCCTGCAGAGGCTCCTGGCTCAGGCCACAGGCCAGGGGACCGCCGTGAGCCCTTCTCTACCCAGGGCCCTGAGATGTTCCCCTCCCTGTGGTCGGCTGTGTGGGGAGCAGGGCCACAGCGGACCGTCCCGAGTGTCGGGCTGGGAGGCATATGGCAGTGGGACAGGCATCTGCATCTCGGCCGCTCTAGCTCAGGGGCCTGCGGTCTCTCCCTTCCGGCCCTTCCTCCCAGGGGCCTCTGTCTCCTCTGTCCCCTCCATCTCTGCCCCTTCCCTGGCCTGACCAGGGTCCCCGGGGCTCTTCTCGCCAGGCCACAGCCGGGCACCCACCGCCGCCCGGCCCCTGCACCGCTGGTTTCCGGGGAGGCTCCGGCTCTCTGTGACCGGCACCCCGGGGGGCCCAGGAGGGGGCCTCGGACCTCTGGGGAGCGAGTGTCTGCTCACTGCTTTGGGAGAGAAGAAGGATCTTAAGAATGTGTTCTTGGTTTATCCGTTGTCCCCGCCCCAGGGGGCGGGCGGGCGTCTCCGGCTGGGTTTGGTTTCCGCTGCTGGCAGAACGAGGGTCGCGGTGAGCCATGGGAACCCCGACGTGCGGGCCGGCGGTTTTGTTTCCAGCCCCCTTATTATTTAAACCAGTGCTGAGTAGGCTTTCTGTTGAACCATCTCTGGGCCACAGTCTCCGAAAGCGTCACCTGTGGGGCTCCCCAGCGACTGGGGGAGTTTGGGGTGACGGACTGAGTGTGGACGGCCACTGTTCACCCACGCCCGCCCCGGAAGCACATCCCAGGACCCCGTGGCGGGAGACCCGCCCTACAGGCCGTCTTCAGAAGCTCCTTTGTTTTCTGCAAGTTGCCACCAAGGTCCCGCTGATACCCACAGCTGGTACGGGTGCCGCCTCCACCAGGGGACTCCCTCCAGGGTCCTCTGGCGCCTCCTCTGCCCAGGTGGGGGGCTGGCTGTGGCTCGCCCCAGTGACATCTGACACCCTTGTTCCCAGGTGGCGGGTTCCAGGGCTCCCGTGGGTCCGGGGCCTCGGGACGTGGGAGCAGGCAGCGGGGGAGGGGCTCGGGTGGGACGCAGGGGCTGAGGCTCCAGGGTCCCGGGGTCTCCCCGCCACACCTGCGGCCGTCCTGTGCTCCCCACTGTCTTCGTGGAGGGGCCGCTCAGCCCCGTTTTCTATTTCCGGAAGTTTACAGGTTGTGGTCTATCAGCCCAAAGTCATTGGCGTTGTGTTTCGGAGTTTTTTCTTAGTTTTTCAGATTTTTTTTTTTTTAGACAAAGTATTTTTTTAGGTGCGATAACCCAGAAAGGGCCCGTCGGGTGTGTGTGTGTGTGTCCTGAACCCCTGACATCGAGGTGGGAGCCTGAGCCCCCGCACGTGGCGACGAGGGACGGGACCCCCCCCACCCCCGGGCAGTACCTGGCCCAGAGGAGGGGCCGGGCCCCTTGCCCTGGGACAGTCCCAGGCCAGCCAAGGGGCCAGGGGTGCTTCGGGCGGGTGGGACGGGTCCCAGCAGGGGGGGGTCCCGGCTGGGGGTGGGGCTGGAGCTTCGGAAGGAAGCCAAACTCCCTGTAAGCGGCGACCTGTCCCACCCTTGGGGGGCTGTCGCGGACACGACCCCCCTCACTTTGTACTCTGCGTGTATGTCTTGGTTTTCTGTGTTTTAATAAATCCTTTGGGAAAGGACCGGATCAAAGTGTTTCCTGGAGGTTCTCACTGGTCTAGTGCGGGGGTGAGGGCTGGGGGCCGGAGAGGGTGTGGGGGGGGTGGGTGTTGTCTGAAGCCACGTCCCACCGGAGAAGACAGCCCCACGGGGCTGAGGGCCTGGCTGGGGAGGAAGAGCACCCAAGGAGGGGCGTGCGTGGGTGACACCTTCCCCTCCCTCCTGTACCCCTAAACACACGCCCCACTGACCCCACCCTGTGCTCCAGCCTCTGTCCCCAGCAGGCACAGGAGCTTCCCAGCAGCCGGTGTGTGTGTGGAGAGAGACCGGGATGGGGGTGGGGAGGCGGGCGGTGTCGTGGTCTGGGTCCCCAGCCCCTGCCTGTCCTCCATGGCCCATCTCTCCCCACCACCCTTGGCCCCACCCAGGCTTTGGGGGCCGTGTGCTCGATGGTGGCTGCACCCCTCAGCCCCCCCCGGCCCCGCCCCCCCCAACTGCCCGGCCCTGCCCTGAGTGCTGCGCATCACAAATGAGGGCAGCAGAAAGCCGTGGACCCGACGACGGGCTTGGGTTTTATTCGGTCATTCCATAAATACAGTGCCGGGGTCTCGGCGGGGTGTCGTCTGGAAGCACAAGGCGCGGGCCCTCTCGCCTGCGGGGGGGGGGGGGGCGGCACGTAGCTGAGGGGACCACAGGCATCGAAAGAGGCGGGTGGGAGGAAGAGCGTCATGGACGGGGCTGGAGGAGGACAGAGGCGCCCTCGGGGCCTCGGCTCCTGCCGCAGGTGTGGGACGGGAGATGGCGCTCTGTGGTTACCGAGGAAGACAGCCCCGCCCCAGGCGGGCCCAGGCCGCACCCTCCTCTCCAGGTTCTGCCTGCCTTTGGGCTTCCGTCCAGCTTCCTTCCCCGACTCCGGCACTCCCCTAAGCACAGGGCCCCCTAAGCACAGGGGCCGTCCCCCGGAGGCAGTGGGTGTGGAGGAACAGGACACCTGGGACCCAGGGCCGGGGCTGCTGGGCCCTGCTGAGCTCCGTCCTGGGGGCCCTCGTCTCCCTGCGTTTGGCCATTCAGCCGCCAACAGGGGCTTGGCCTTCCCAGGGGTGGCTCGAGGGGCAGCCGTCCCCACCGCTGGCCCGCTGCCAGCCTGGGCCCTGTCCCAACAGTTAGGGGGCCTGGGGGCGGCAGTGTGGAGGGGCCCAGCACGGCGTTGTCCCAGGGGGAGCTTGTAGGAGACTGGCTGGAGAGGAACCCCGAAGGCCCCGGCTTACAGGGAGGGGGAAGGTGTTAGACTCCAGGGTCAGCGCAAAGGTCAGGGGTGGGAAAAGCTGTCCGCCCTGCCCCCTCTTCGCCTTTGAGGTTCTCTCCAAGCATCTCTGGCCCAGCCCGCCCAGCGCTGCTGGCGGCCCCTGGAGAAGGGCGGCCCCTGGGGCGGCCTTGGCTGTCGGGAAAGCAGGACTTGCTGTGCCCGCCCCTGGGCTGAGTGAGAGGTGGGGGGGTGCGGGGTGTGGGGGCCGGCAGTCTGTCCTGCCTTTCCTCTCTGCCCCAGGGGTGTCTGGCACTGTTGCCCATCTGCCCAGGTCACAAGCTCTGAGCACAGAGACACTTAGCACCCCAAGGGGGGACGCGCCAACCCCACATGGTCCGAGGCCTCCCAGGGGCTTCTCTGGGAGGGGTCCCGGGATCTTGGCCTCCATTCTGGGGTTGCTGCTGGGCGTGCAGACCCGCAGCCACCCCAAAAGGGTCCGAGCCTGTTCCCTCGGCACGCCCCCAGGCCACCCTGGGCAGGGAGGGCAGAGGCCCCCTCTCCTGCGAGTGGTGGGCAGCCGCTGTCCAGCTCAGCACGCGCAACCTCGGGGCCTCTGGGGCAAGGACAGGGGCGGTGGCTGGGTGCCTGGTGGGGAGGGCAGGCGGGGCCCTGGGGGGACCCAGGCCGGAGCCCACTCCACTGGCCCCCTGCCCAGCGCGCCGGCCGCCCTGGCCAGGGGCTCATCCACTGTGCAGGGTGTAAGACGTGGGGCAATGAACTTGAAACCAGACCCCCAAGCGTTTTGTGGGTCCCAAACTGCAGAGCCAGTCCCCCTGGATCCCCGCCCCTGCCAGCCAGGGAGGAGGCAGGGGTTAAGGGACAGCATGGAGGGCGCCCTGCAATGAGCCCCCCGGGGCGGGTGGCGGTGCAGAAGGGGTGGGGAAGCGGCCGAGGGTGGGCCCGCTGGGAAGTGCCTGGAGCCCTTGGTCCGCGGCAGACCCCCCCGCGAGGAGGCCACAGGGAGACCGGGCGGGGTTTCCTCTTCCCTTCCCCCAGCACCGGGGTGGAGGGGGGGGGTTCTTGGTGGAGGAGAGGCCGGCCCTGCCTGCCCCCAGGCCCCACTGGTCCGCCTGGCCAGGCCCTGAGGGGTCTCCGAGAAGGGCCCCGGCTGGGAGGAAACGGGCTGGTTTCTTCTGGGAGGGCGAGCGGCGGCCGCAGGCTTGGGTGGGACCTCGAGGCTGCCCTTCGGGTCCTCAGTGCCGTCGCCCCGGCCCGCCGTGGGTCCCGAAAAGCAGGGGATGGAGTGTGGCAGCCACCTCCGGGATGCCTTCCCGATGACGCCCGGGCGCGTGGTCGTGGTCGTCTCGATGCAAACCACGTTCCTGACTTGGCTTCAGACAGCGTAAGCGAGCGGAGAACAGAGACACGGGCGGGGGGAGCGGAACGTGTCCGGGCCGGCCGAGGGGGCGTCTTAGGACCTGTAGTCCTTTTTGCTGTAGGGTTTATTGCCCAGAATGCTATCGATCTCGTGGGTAATGGAAGACGACAGTTTGGGAAGGACCTGTGTGCCAGGGCGAGAGCAAATCAGAATTCCATCGGGACCGGCTGGGGGAGGGGGAGGAGGGGGAGGGGAGGAGAGGGAGGGGAGGGGGGAGGGGAGGGGGAGGGGGGACGTGCCCCCCCCCCTCCCCCACCCCCCGGCCAGGCCCGTCGGAATGAGGTGCAGCTGCTTCTGATTCCCAGCGGTGTGGGCAGAGGGGGGGGTCTGCCCTGGTTTACACTCGGCCCCTCACACTCGGGAGAGCTCTAGACCCTCCTGGAAGGCATGAAGGGCAGACCCCACGGCCAGACCTCTGACCTCCACCCCCTAAACTGCCTTCCCCAGCCTTCCCCGCTTGCCCTCCACGGGACGCAACCCAGGGGCGTCTCTGACGCGTTCCCCTCACACGAGGTACGTCGGCCAGTGCTGCTGGCCCACCTGGCAAATATCCCGGGCGCACCCACCTCTCCCATGTCCACGACCAGGGTCGCCCCGACCCCTGTCGTCCCTTCCCAGCACGTCTCCCTGTTCCCCAGTCTCCCCTCCACTCAGCAGCCAGAGGGAGGGACGCTTTTAAACCCCGGGTCAGCCCCCGCTGCCCCTGCTCTGCTTGGGATGGCGGGGTTCCCACCGCGCCCAGGATCACCGCCGAAGTCCTCAGAGGGCACGGTGCCCCGGGGGCCGCTCACTCCCGCCTGCCTCACCCCCCACCCCCCGGGCTCACCCCCACCTCGGGCCTCCCGTCGGCTGCTCCTGCTGCCTGGACGCCTCTCCCCCAGGTGTTCGAATGGCCCGCTCCTCGGCGCCCCAGTCTCCAAGGCTTTGCTCCCATGTCCCTTCGCCCCAAGCCCACCCTGACAGCCCCTTCCTCCGGGCCCACGGCTCTGCCTCCCCTCCGCCTCACCGGACACCCCGCCCTTGCTCTAGCCGCCCCCTGCCCCCGCCCCGCCAGCGCTGATGGGACACCCACTCTCATCCCCTTGACTCTCTCCTTAATTCCCCGTGCACCGCCTGTTCCTGCTAGAGCACCGGCTCCTCCAGAGCAGGGCTGCCTGGTGGCGGCTCGCCGACAGAGCCCACGTGCTGGCACGTAGCAGCAGGCGCTCAGCGAGTCCCTGCCGGAGGGATGGCTGGGGGGCCCCGGGCCCGGCACCCTGCAGGTGCCCCACTCACCTGGATCGCGCCGATGTTCTCCAGGAGCTGGTCGGCGCTGGAAGCGCCCAGCAGCACGGAGCTGACCCCCTCGTTCCTCAGGCACCAGGCTGGGGGCGGGGAGACGAGGGGTGAGGGAGACGCACCCACGCCGGCCCCCTTTCCGGCGCCGCCCTGCCCCTCATGGGGCCAGAGACCCCCGGTCAGCCCAGCGCTCAGCAGCGCTGGGTGGGGGCCCTGGGGGAGGCCCGGCACAGGAGGACACCCTGTGGAGAGGCGGCCCACATGCTCGAGGACCCCCATCTTCTCCCCATGAGTGTGGAACCCCCATTTCCCATGGCTGGTTGACAAAGGGTTGGCCCAGGCATCAAGGACTCCTGATGTCTCCCAAACCACCCCCACCCCCAGCCCCGTCACCTAGGGCCGCACCCCCCAGTCCGGTCACCTACAGCCACACCCCTGGCCCCCTCACCTAGGGCCGCACCCCCGGCCCCCTCACCTATGGCCAGCTGCGGGAGGGTGCAGCCCAGGCGCTCGGCGATGGCCTGCAGCTCCTTCAGCTTGGCCTGCTGGCGCCGGCCCTCCTCACTCAGGATCTTGTCCTTCAGCCACTGGTAGCCCTGGGTGAGGGTGGGGGTGGGGGAGAACCGGGTGAGGCCGGGTCACCTGGGCCTCGAGGACGGCTGACCACTGGAAGCCGGGCCAGCACCTGCCCCTGTGCCCCCCTCGCCCCACCAGGTCCTGCTGTGGGCGGAGCTGGAAGGGTGGGAAGCCCGAAGTCTGTGGGTGCCCCCAGGAGACTGGGCCCCCGGAGCCGGTGGACCCACTGACCCCCCTTCTCCCAGGAGGCCTGGAGTCCTGGGTGGGGAGCTGCTGCTGTTGTTCCAGCACAGAGGGGTGCGGCCGGCCGGCCCCCGCCCTGGGGGTCGCGTGCCTCTCGGGGACGCCCTGACCTTGCAGTGGGCTGCGGGGTGAAGGGGGCAGGCCTTCTGCCCTCGCACCGGGGGCCGGGGCTCCGGCGCCCGATCTGCCCTGGCCCGGCTTTTCTCTGCCTGCTTTGCCCCCAGACCCTGCATTCTGGAGGCTCCCCGAGCCCCTCTTAGCGGTAAGTAGGCGGGGCACTGGTCCTGGGGAGTCACCTCTGAGGGACAGCTGAGGAAGCCCTGCGCCCCGGGCCCTGAGCGTGCGTGTGGGGGAGGGGCATCCCAAAGGCACCTGCGGACCCGGCCCAGGTTGTGCGTGTGGAACTGAGGAGGACGTGCAGGGGGTGCAGGGACCTCTTCACCTGGGCCCGTCCCACGGGTGGGCAGCTCTTCCACCCACGGGCTCAGGCCAGCCAGGGCTCCGAGTTCCCCTAGCCTGAGCCACCCTGCGGGCGGGGGGGCCCCGGGGGAAGGGCGCCCGGCACCGAGGCCTCGCCTCGGTCAAACGCCTGGCGCCGCCCTTACCTTCAAGGACGCCCTGGAGTAGGGCGGGATGCCGCTGTCGTACTTCCCGGAGACGATGCCGCAGGCCAGAGGGGACCACGTCATGGCGCCCACTCCTGGGAGAGGAAAGCCAGGTAGGTGAGGGCGCGCCCTGGGTCCCCGGGGCGGGGGGGGGGGTGCAGGGCGGGGCGGGGCGCCTACCGATCTTGTGGAAGAGCTCGGGCAGCTGCACCTCCACCTTCTCGCGCTGGAACATGTGATACTCGGCCTGCTCGCAGATGGGCGGGATCAGGTTGAACTGCCGGGCCACAGAGTAGGCCTCCTGCGGACACGGAGAGGGCGCCGCGGTGACCGCCGGGGCGCCGGGGAGGAGACGCGGGGACGTCCCAGGGGAGGCTGCCCAGGGGCCGGCCCGCCCCTCCCGCCTCTCGGCTTTGCTGGGAGCCTGGGGGGTCCCTGCCGTGAGGTGGGAAAGGGGATGATGGGCCGTCGGACCCCAAGGCTGAAGGGGTCGGTCGAGGGGAAGTATGACCTGCTACAGAGGCTTGGGTTCTGGCGTTACTGGCTGGGCGGCCTTGGGCGAGGGGCTCACCCCTCTGGGCCTCAGTTTCCCCATCTGTCGTGAGGTTCCAATGGGCTAGGGGCGCCTGCAGCCCTCATGACAGTGGGCGGGCGTCCCGTGTGTGTGCTGGCCCTGTGGCCTCAGCTTTTGTCAGGGCTGCCACTCGGGACCTGGCCCCCGGATGATGGCACCCGCAGAAGCCGCGAGGTCGAGGGAGGGAGAGTGGCCGCGTCAGCCCGTTTCTGGAACGTGGGGCTTGCGGCCCCCATTCCGCAGAGCTAACGTCTGCAGACGGCCCCGGGGAAGGCCCATTGGCCGGCCTGGGTGGCCTCTCCCCTCCCTAACCCTAACCCTAACCCTCCGGCCGGGGCTCGGCAGTCCCATCCGTGAAATGGGGAGAAGGCGCCGCAGGCCCCGGGCGGCCTCAGAGGGACGTGTGTGCTCGTGAATGCCGCGGCCACAGCAAGCGGTGCGGGGGCCGCCGGGGTGGTGTTTGCCCAGAAGTGAGCATCCCGCTGCATGTCTTAGACGCGGGGGGAATCGGGGACACTGGGGCGCAGGGGTTCGGGGGCGCCGGGAGGGACTGAGGCTGGGCGGGGCCTGGAGCCGAGGGCAGTGGGTGGGTCAGCCTGCGAGGGGAGACCGGCCCCGGGCCTCTGCCCACCAGCCCCCACTCCGGCCCACGCGCCTGCTTCTGAGGGGCACAGGGCGCCCCGCTGACCCTTCTGGGACACCCCAGAAATGGCAAAGAGCATCTGCCGTCCTTCGGTCCCGGAAGCTTCCGTGGAGGGAAAGGACAATGAGGGGGTGCTTTCCGGAAGAGCCAGGGAAGGGGAAACATGGTGGGTTATGAGATGGGTGCCCAGGGTCCCAGCAGCCACCCACGTGCCGAGCGGCGTGGCCCGGGCATTCATCTCAGCGTGAGCTGTGTGACCTCGGGCGTGTGACTCGACCTCTCTGTGCCTCAAGTGCACACCCGAAGGGCAGGGCAGCAGCGCCCACCTCACGGGACAGTGCCCGACAACGCTGTCACTGAAGCTCCAGGACCTCTGCGAAGAGCCACACGCCTGCTCTCCCAGCGAGTCCTCGGGACAGCCTCAGGGGGCGGCCCCCCGGCAGTCCCGTCCTACGTGTGCGGGACGTGGGGCTCAGAGAGGTGAAGCCCCCCATGGTGACACGGAGCAGCCCCGCCCAGCGCAGAAGCTGTGGCCGCCACTGGTCACGGTGGTCCGCCAGGGCCCGGAGCTCCGCCCACGGGGCAGGGAGACGCCGGGGGTCACCGTACCATGATCTCCATGGAGCTCCAGCGCGACGTGCCCCAGTACATGGCCATCCCCTGGTTGATGACGTGGGTCATGGCACGCACGGTCTCTGTCACGAGAGAAGGGGAAGCTGCAGGTGCTGGGGGCGGCTGCGGGCACGGGGCCCAGCCTGGGGCCGTTCTGCGAGTACAGGCCAGGCGCCGGGAGCAGGGGCGGGGGGCCGCAAAGACGTCTTGCAAGCAGTGTACTTCCCGGCTCCTCCTCAGGGGTGGCAGGGGGTCTCCGGGGCGGCAGGAGGAAGTGAACCTCAGTCCGAGACGTTGGTCTCGGAAACGACCTCCCCGAATAGGTACAGGTGTTACGGGGTTTTGGAAAACTGGGTGCTGAGGGGAATGGGGTGCTCCTGTGGCAGATGAGAGGGATGAGGGGAGGGGAGGGGAGGCCAGAGACTGTGACCCAGAGGCGAGAAGCAGGGGGTTCTCTAGTCCGGGGGGAATCAGGAACCCCGATCCCCAGGCGGAGCCAGGGAATGGATTAAGGTGACCTCAGAGGGGTGGGGGGGGCAACAGGAAGTGGACGCAGTGTCTGCCCGTGGCTGGCCTGCTACCTCGGGCTAACCCCCATGCTCAGCGGGATCGGGGGAGCCTGAGGGAGCGGTGACGATGGCATCGGTAGGGACACAGGGTGTGGCGTGGGACCCCGGGCGGTCCCAGAGGTGGGGGCTGCAGGCTGGAGCTCCTCTTGAGTCCAGAGGAGCCAGAGGAGATGTGGACGGCCCCGTCTGGGCCAGGCCCGGGCTGCAGCCTGTCCCCCAGCCCAGGACAGGGCGGGGGTCTCTGCTCCTGGGACAACGGGGCCCTCCCGGGCAGGCCGCGGGCCCGCGGCAGGACGGCCACGGTCTCCACGTCCTCCGGGGACACACCGAAGGAACGCTGCGCAGCTGAGGACGAATCGCTGAAACCCTGGGCCTTTCCGAATGAGAGAGAAGGGACCCGCCCCCACCTGCACCATCCAGTCCTCCTACGACTCTGGAAAGACTCGGAGAAATCCAGCCCAGGCTGTCGCAGCTCACGGGGGGAGGGGGGGTCGTTTTAAAAGCAGAGCCTGGTCTCATGTGTTTGAGTGTGTAGTGTCTCCGTGCACTGGGGCAAGGGTGGCTCCCCCCAAGTTCCCCCAAGCCCCATACAATGCTTGCAAGTCCGGCTGCCCGAGGCAGAGTGGGAAGTGGGGGGGCGAACAAGTGTTTCTAAAACGAGGCACGACACGGACCCCTGGCTGCGGTCCCCGCCTTCACAAGGCTGCGGCGGCTGGGGCTCCAGGGGCGGTGGTCTCACTGGACTCGCCCAGGACCCCTGAAAAACCGCACCTGGGCTCCACACCCACAGGCCAGGCCCTGTCCTCCCTCCCTGCCCAGGTCGGGGTCTGGGTTCCTCGTCGCCCATCCCAGGGGGGTGGGCTGGCTGGCAGGGGAGTGCGGACCCATGGGGCCGCTGCTGTAATTGCCGACACCTGTCAACGTGAAGGACAGCGGTGTCTGGTTGGAGAGGCCTGCGGGTTCCAGGAAGGCACCTGCCCACATTGGAACCCCGAGCCCTGGCGCCCCCTGCCGGGTCCTTTAGAAACACGCGGGGGGAAGGGGGGGCCACCTGCGACCATGCAGCGTGAGTGCCGGTTCTTTTCAGCCAAGGCTCAGGCCCACATGCTGGCGCGGGGAAGCCGAGGATGCCCCCCCGTTCCCAGCCTGTCTCCCCGGCACGGCTCCCTCCTCACCAGGGGACTGCACGGTGCAGCGCCCTTCCATGCAGAGGGGAGCCCGCCGGCCCCTGGGGGTCAAGGCCACGGCGGCAGCCTGAGAGGGCCTGCGCTGGCCCGAGAGAGCAGGGGTCTGGGGCACAGGCCCCCCGGGGCTCCCCGAGGGTCCCCGGCAGTGGCGGGCCGGCCGGGCGTGGGGCCCGCACACAGGAGCAAGGCACCCTGCCCTTCTGCCCAGGCGTGACGTCGGGGGCCCCCGACGTCAATGGACTGTTAGCGACAGCCCATCCCCCTCAATATTTAATGCCACTGGATGGAAGCCGGGGGGGGGGCAAATCCTTGCAGCTGCCCGTCCGACCCCCTGGCATCTCCCGCCGTCACACATAATACACGGGAGGGGTCAGGTGGCAGTGCCAGGTGGCAGGCGGGAGCCCTGCCGCCGTGGAACACAGCCCACATCCCGGGGAGACCGAAGCCTGCCCGCGGCAGGGGGTCCTGGGGGAGTCTTAGCTTAGGGGCAGGCGGAGGCCGCCCCCAGGGTCGGGTTTCCTGGCGTGTGTGGGTGTTCTTCAAGGGGGACAATGTTCCATTTCCGTGTGGGGGGGGAGGGTCAGGCCACGCAGCCAGGGCTGAGAGTGGCAGGTGGCCCAGCCCGCCCAGGGACAGGAGTGCCACAGCAGCCAGGACGCCCCACAGGAGCCTGCGCAGAGCGCACAGGGCGGCTGGCGCTGGGGTTCCCCGCCGCTTCCGGCCAGGGCAGGGGCCTACCGACCATGAGCTACAGAGTAGACGAGACCCGCGGGGGCCGCGTATTCTGGGGTCCCCGGGGTGCGTGCTCCGGTGGGAACCGGGCCTCCCCCAGCCCATGGAGGGTCAAGCTTTCAGGCCCTGACCGCAGCACCCCCAAGTCACGAGGGGGCCCTGGCAGACGCCGGCTGCCCCGAGGACCGCAGCAAGGCCAGGCGAGGGTAGGGGGGTGGGGGGGACATGCACAGAAGGACGGAGGGGTGAAATGACAGCCTGGCCTGCGGGGGGGGGAGGGGGCTTTTCCTGCACTCGCAAGGGGTTCTCAGAGGGCACTCCTGGTTCCCCTATGCATTTTATGGAGAAGTTCGTCAGCGAGGAGAGTCGTGTAAATAAAACCACTGTCTCATAAAATGCAGCTCGGACACGGGAGTCAATAGCCGGGCCCAGGGCACGGTGTACCTTCTATGATGAATGTCCTGGACTTGGAGGAACTAAATGGGTCCCCTGGTGATAAAAGAAAGATTTAAAGAGACCAGAGTTTATAGCTGCGGGGACACGGAGAGGCGTGCTGTGACAAAGGGCACGGGAGGGAGGCACAAATCACTCTCGCCGAACACTTGTTTGGTTTTTAAAAAAAAAAGCACATATATACACACACACACGCGCACGCATGCGCCTATATCGACAAATGAAGGAAAAAAAAACCCGAACACCCCTGGAGTTTCCGAGTCCCTGCCGCAGGAGAGCGCAGACCAGACGACACCCGAAGCAGGAAGCTGGGGGCGTGGCGGGAGGGGGGGGGGGCACGGGAGCGGAAAGGATGAATTAGCGCCTAAGAAACCAAAACCGCTTTCAAAGCCTGTGCGGCTCCTCTCCTCCGCGTCAACAGAACACAGACCCCGAAGCTGCCCGGGAGAGGGACGGAAAAGAAGGAAGCATTTGCCACGCGTCATCGTGTTGTGTGATTCCACTTAGTTACAAAATGCTAACAGCTGAGAGAACATTCCACACAGTTCTAAACCAGGAGGGGTGGGGGCCCAGGTGTGCACCAGGTGTGGGCCCAGATGTGCCCGGGAGCACCTGGGGAGGGCAGGGCATCGGAGGCGGAGCTCGGGTCCCCCACAGCCCGCTCCCCCCACCTGGAAGGCCTGGCCTCCTGGCCACTGGCCTGTGCCCATGGCCCCCGGAGTCTCGGGCTCAGGACTTCCCGCCCGCGACCGAGAACCTACCTTCCATGGGCGTGTTGGGGTCCGGGCGGTTGGCAAACACCACGTCCACGTACTCGAGCTGCAGCCGCTCCAGGGAGGCCTTCAGACCTGGGGGCGGGGTGGGAGGGATGGTGTCTGTCTTCTCAGACTTTTGGGCCCTTGCCCGTGCCAGAGAGGAAAGGGACAAGTGGAAAGGGTTGGGGACATGTGTGGGCCATTGCCACCAATGGGGCTCCGCTGGGTCAGGGGGACATGGGAGGTCTGCAGGCCAAATGTCCTGAGACTGAATGAAGGGGGACCCTCCTGGGCTTCCTGGTGGCCCCTCCGGGTCGCTGGGCGAGCTAGGGCCCCCAAGACGAGGGGGGGACCTGCGGCGTCTATTGCCCCCAAGGCTGACGGGGTCTTAAGTGCACCTGTTGGGAGCCAGCACCTGGCGATGGCTCCCAGGGGAGCTGCAGAGTGGGGTGCTGGGCTGGGGGGTGGGCGGCAAAGCACCCCCGAGGTCTCCTTGTTGCAGGATGGACATGAACGTGGACAGGAAGGGCAGGAAGACAATGCAGCAGGAGGGAGGGGACGGCGGGACCAGTGCTCTGGGTGCCGTCCCCAGGCCGGGGGGGCCCTGGGCCGCATCATCGGAAGGGGGATGGGCACCCTCACTTTGGCACCCGGAGGGACCCCGTGGGTTTCGGGCCCCCGGTGAGCCGGAGCCCCTCACCTTCTATGATGTGCTTCCGGGAAAGGCCCCTCTCGGTCTCTGCTCTGAAAAACAGGCGACGGTGGGCAGGGCGTTGCAAACGGTTTCGGGGGAAAATGTTTGTGATGTACCCACTAGGCCGACAAGGCAGGTCAGCACGGGCCCCACGTGAGCACCGGCTCCACCTCGGGGACGGGCGCACGAGGCCGTGGGGTGCACTCGTGGGCGTGTAGGAGGTCCCGCCACCCTCGGCTGGCCTGTGGGGGAGGAGGGCGGCCTCTGTGTCCGACCTGCTCTTCTGCCGGGCTCGGGTGTTGGGCAAAGATGAAGGAGGAACTGCATTCACAGTCCCCAGGACGCGGGTTTTGTCTGGCCCCAGAGAGAAAACCGAACTGGACCAGCCTGGGGCTGGACGGGGGTGTCTGTGCCCCGGGGACGTGCAGCCGTATGGGTACGGGCGGTGCACGGACTTTCTGTGTTTCCCAGAATTTTTAGAATGTTACCTTTGCCGTTAAAACCAAAAAAACAAATCCATGAAGTTAAAAAAGAAATTAAACGAGGTTCAAGTGAAAGACAAAAGCAGCCGAAGCCGCTTTTCTGGGACTTGGCGTGCCTTCACAGGGACGGCGCCAGCCAGGGCCGAGGCCGCACGAAGGCCAGCCCACCTGCCTCGGGCACTGGGGACCGGGGACGGCGCGAGGCCTGGCTGTGCTCCCAGGGCGCCTGGCCGGCCCGGAGGAGGACACCCCCACTCCCCCGCCTGCTCGGTCAGGAGCGTGGGTGGGTTTGGGGGGACCGCCGCCGCTGCCATCGCCCAGGCTGCACCTACTTTCCGCCCCAGAAGATCTTGGTGGTGATGACGAGGCTGGAGCGTCTGCGGACACAGGGGAAGGGGGGGGTGTTACTGGCCTCGCCCCTCGCGGGGTCCTTCCCACCCCGGCCGCCTTCAGCTCCCACATCAGGGTCCGGGAGCACTAGTGGGAAAGGGGGCACCCCTCTGTCACGCAGTGCTCTCGGTGGGTTGAGCCTGGACCCTGGGGCTCCCCGTGGCGTCAGGAGACAGCCCACAGGTGCCACTCACTGACCAGGCGACTGCAAGTCGGGTGAGGGGCCCAAGGGAGACCCGGGTGCCCCTCACGGAGCCCCTCCCCTCCTGCCAGCTCCTCAGGGTCCTTCCCCGGGGGTGCGCCCTGGGCCCCAGCCCCAAAGACAGCAGACGTTACCTCCATCCCTTCTTCTTGATGATGTTCCCCAAAACCACTTCCGCCCTGTGGGAAAGACCAGACGTGGAGACGTCATTCTGGTGCCATGGAAACGTCCAGCCCCGCCCACCGTGACAACCGGGCCCCCGGGCCCCCTGGACGGCCAGGCTGTTCGCGTCCGCGTTTGCTCGGACGGCTGGTGCAGAGAAGAACCCCCCAGAAGGTGGCTGTGGCACGAGTCCCCACCTGCCCTGTCTGAGCAGCACCCCGTTCCCGGGCCCCTGGAGGTTCACCCGGAAAACGCTGGGCAGCGCCGCATGGACGGTTTCCAGATGAAGATGTTTTTTAGAAGATACATTATTCATCTGCTTTCAGAGACAACCGATGGGGACTCGGGGCCGGGGGCTGGGGCTCCAGCAGGGTGCTCCAGGGCGTGCGTGCGTGCGTGCATGTGTCTGTGGGTGTGTGGTCCTCACTTCTCGCTTTTGAACAGTGGAGAGCCGCACGCCCTGCCGGCCGCTGCCTGCGCCATCCGGCATCCCTTGGGGCGCCCCCCCCCCCACCCCGCCCGCCCGCACCGAACTCGGGCCAGCCGGCGCCCGGGGCGCCGCTCCAGCCCTGCCTGGCGCGCTGCACGGATGGGTCTGCAACTGTTACATTTTTAACTTTTAAGAACTTTTTGCTTGTAGCAAAATGTTCCTGAGCAAAAAAACCACCGAGGGAGCCTGATCCAGACCCAGGGCTGCCATCCAACTATAAAAGCGCCTGAGTCATCCGCTCGGAGATAATGGGCTCTGGCCGGCCAGCGGTCTGGCACACGCTCAGAGGAAAGTTCTTTTGTTTATGGTCTGCACGCACAGAGAGGCGCTTGCCCTGGGCCTCCTCCTTTGTTCCTCGGTCCCTCGGTCCCTCGTGCGTGGGACAGAGAGTCGGGAGGGGAGGGAGAGAGAAAAGCAGGCCGTGGTCCTGGGGTGCGGGAGGGCAGCCAGAGCCGACCGAAGCCCCCCCGCTCATGGCCGAGGATGTGGTAGGGCTGGCACCGCCCGGCAGGGCGCAGAACTCCTCCGGCCCTCTGGGCGGTGCCCCAATTAGTGTCAGCAGGACAAGCAGGGGACTCAGCGTGCTATGCAGCCGGCACCGTGGTTCGCCAGAGGGGCAGCGCCTGGCTCCGAGCAGCGTCTCCCTGCCTGTCCCTGGGCACGGCGCCCGGCTCCCCCGTGCAGGTGGCCGAGGCTTTGATGGGGATGAGCGGGCAGGTTCACAGGCCGGTGGAGCGGAGGGCGGGATGAGGGCGGTGGGCTCCAGGGGCCACGACCCCCCACGGGAAGCTGCTCCCCGAGTCCTTGGCTTCCGCCAAGGGGCTTCCGGGAGGCGGGACCCAGTGTGCTTGTCCCCACCCTGGGTGTCCCTTAACGGGGGGAGGGGAGCACAGTCACAGAGAGTGGGGCTGCCGTGGAATGCTGTGCGCCGGCCGGCACAGGGGCTGGGCGGTCTGCAGTTGCAGGAGGCCGCCCGAACTGCCTGCCTCCTGGCACGCCCTCGTGGGCGGCCCGCCCGCAGGTGCGGGAGAGGGCACAGGCCAGGGTGCTCAGGGTGGGGCTGCGCCGCGGGCATGGCCTCCTCGTTGGGCTTCACCTCTGACGCTTGGCCTTCGCTCCTCCGTCTGGAAAGTATTTCCCTTTGATGGGAAGCGGCTGCCAGTTTGGAGGGGCTGGGAGGGGCTGTGGTGTCAGGAGGGGCAGTGAGCTGCTAATGGGGGTTGGGGGGACCTGGGGGTCCCCGTGGAGGCTCCCGGGGCTGTCCGACCCTCCGACCCTGGGTCGGCACTTGAGCTTCCGGCCCCAGTGGGGACGGCAGGCAGGTCACCCAGAGCCGCGGGAGGCAGGCGCGGGCCCTGGGGCCAGCCCTGGTGCAGCCAGCCCGCGGACGGGGACGGGGCTCGCCCCAGGCAGGGGGACCAGGAGGAGCGGGGAAGAACGCCAACTCATGACTTCACAGACAAAAGCCGGCTTTTGGAAACCCGCCGCGGGAGAGTGGATGATTGGATTACAGGCCGTCTTCCAAGCCGAAGCCAGCGGCCTTGGCTGGAGACGGCGTCTATGTAATTGAGGAGGGAAGTTCACTGCCAGCCAAGACGGGAAGTGCTTCCTGCTGGGCTCGGCCCGCCAGGTCCTGTGTCCCCGGCTCCGAGGCCCTGATGCCCCGTGGCCCTCACCGCACCGCTGAGACACGAGGAGGTCAGGGGTGCAGGGCTGGCTGCAGGTCAGGGGCCCCGCGGGAGAGCCCGGGGACAGCGTCACCTTGGCCCTCACCCGGCACAGCATCTCGGGCACCGGAGGGACCGAGGCCATCTCGGTGTGGGGACACATGGAGAGTGTAGCCAGGGACCAGTGTCCCAGTGTTTTGAGATTCTGGCCCCGTGCAAACAACACAGCCTGGAGCTACTCAGAGCTGGAAAAGCACGTGGGGCGGGAGGCGCACGCGTGAACCCTCTCGGGACGGGGGCCATGGGCCGCGGTGCTCCCGCCCTGCCCCGGGGAGCCGTGGCCGCGCGACTGTTCCCGTGAGAAAAGGCACGTACTTGCCGGCCGCGTAGACTTCCGCTGTGTCGAAGAGGTTGATGCCGTTGTCGTAGGCCAAGGTCATTAGCTGCTCCGCCATCTGAAACGAGAAACCAGGGCTGTTCTCGCGGGCGGCGCCGTCCTGCCGGCCGGGAAGCACCAAGAGGCTCCCCAGGCCCTGCCCCGGGGTCCCCCGTCCTCTCCCGCCAAGGGACGGGTGTGGAGGCCGAGCTCAGCAAGGGACCCACAGAGGAGAAAGAAGGGAGATGCAGAGGCAGCTCTGGGCCGTGGCCTTCCCTCGAGCAGGGACCCCCTCTGTTGGGGCATCACAGGGCTCCGCGCCTCGACCGGGGTGAATAGTGTCCCTTCAAGTTCACGTCCACCCAGGACCTCAGCTTGTGACGTTGGGTGGACACGGGGCCTCCGCAGCTATAACTAGTTAAGTTAAGACGAGGTTACAATGCATTAGGATGGACCCTAAGTCCAGTCCAAGGGTGTCCTTGTAAGAAGAGACACACTCGCACAGGGAAGGGGCTGAGTGGAAGCGGGCAGGTACCAGGGTGGTGTGTCCACCAAGGCCAAGGGTGGCCCAGGACGGCCAGCAGCGCCCCCAGGAGGGCTGGGTGAGCGGGATGGGACCAGCCCCTTTGCAGCCTGGGCGGCAGCTTAGCCCTGCCTGCCAACACCTTGATCTTGAATTTCTGGCCTCCGGACCGTGAGAGGACGGACTTCCGTTGTTTTAATCCCCTCGGTCTGCGGGGCTTCGAGACGGCAGACCACGGACACTGGCAGCCCACCACGGGAGCCCACCGCGGGTCTCGGCAGGATAACTGCTTCCCAGCTACAGCCAGAACGATGCGTCCCGTGGCACCGTGGTCCGCAGAGCCCTCCCCAGAAACTGTGTGAGTGTGGTGTTGTCACTGCTTGCGGGCAGAGGAACTCCGTCCTCAGCTAGCGTGCTGGCCCGGCCCGTGTCTCTCTGATTCCTGCAGGCGGGGCCTGGCGAATGGCCACCGACGGGGGGCAAGGATCAAGGAGCAGGGTGGGGAGGGGGAGGGGGAACCTGCCTGCAATTGACAGCTCCCATCCCCCAACAGAGAAGGGGCTCTGGACCCTGATTGTGCTCTGCACGGGGCAGAGGTCCTTCTGAGGGTCACAGGTGCAAACTCCACCCCCCCCGCTTCTCACGGCTCAGCTCAGAGCACCCAGCAAGCCCAGGGTGGGGTGCATAACACTCAAACCCTCAAAAACCGCAGGACAGAAAGCCGGCCAGGCGAGGCTTCCGGGAGCTTCTCCCAGAACCACGCTCAGAAGTCCCACCTGCCAGGCAGGTACGGAGAGTGAGGCCGGAGGCCGGCGTTGATGCCTGGGGCTGGGGGCTCAGTCTCTGCCCGTGGGAAGGCGGGCCGGTACGAGCAGATCCCTTGGTTTTTCAAGAGAAGCCCGACATCCGGGATATTTCGGTGGCGGGGTGTCCGATTTTCCAACGTGGACAACGAGCCCTGAAGACTTCCAGTACCAAGCAGGCCAAAGCTAACCCCCGAGAGTTAGCGGCTGGTGTCTAAGCCGGAAAAAGCTCAGGGCGTGTGACCACCAAAGCAAAGAGTTTTCTGGAAACCACGTGTCGCTGAATAGCAGAAACCAGGCCTGGGCCGCTGCCGGCCGACCACACGGGGCTCCGGGAGCAGGCAGGACAGCACGCTGGCACGGAGGAGGCCCACCTCCGCTCACCTGCCCAGAAGGACGTGTGCACGACCCTCGGATGCTGACGGACAGACAGAAAGAGGAGGAGGGACCCTGGGAGTTTCCAGGGCTGTGTCTCCTTTTTTCTTTTCTTTTCTTTTTTCTTTTCTTTTCTCTCCCTTCCTCCCTCTTTCTTTCTTCTTCTTCCTTCCTTTCTTCCTTCTTTCTTTTCTTTCTTTCTTTCTTTCTTTTCCTTCCTTCCTCCCTTCCTTCTTTCTTTCTTCTTTTTCCTTTCTCTTTCTTTCTTGCTCTTTTCCTTCCTTCTTCCCTTCCTTTTCCTTCCTTCCTTCCTTCCTTCCTTCCTTCCTTCCTTCCTTCCTTCCTTCTTTCCTTCCTCTCTCTCTCCCTCCCTCCTTCTGCTGTGATTTGGGCGTGCTTCCTCCTCCGGGGTTTGCTGTGGGAACACAAGCGTTCCCCAACAACATGGCAGCTGCATCACAATCCCCACGCGCCGGGCTCTCTCGTGGGCCTTCCCTTTGTCGTTGTCCAGACATGACTCCTGCAGACGTCCCCTCTGGGGGTGCCGCCTGCCTTCCGTCTCGGAGCCTCTGTTGTGTGGCCAGTCCGTTCCTTCCGACGTCCGAGTCCCGGGAACCGGAGGCAGAGGGAGCCTCCGGAGAGATGTGGGCCCCTCGCCGCCGTCACCCCCGGGGGCCCGGGACTCCGTCCTGCCCCAGTGCGGCTGCCCCAGAGCCCAGGCCGGAGGCCAGAGCAAAGTCCCGGAGGCCCCGTGTTCCGGACAAGGGAATGAGGACGCCCACCTCCCCAGGCGGTGGGGGGCTGAGTGGGATGATCAGCGTAAACTTCTTAGCTCGGGCTGCTTGGAACGCACGCTCTGGATGGGGTGGGTGGTGGGTGGAGGGGGGCGGTTCCACTGGAGCAGCAGAGCGAGGTCACCGCAGGGGCGGGGGACCTGAGGCTGGAAACCCGACTGACCAGGGCAGCTGCCGGCTCGGCCGCGGGGCCTGAGCTTCACTCCCTGTCCCTTCCTCCGCGGCGCGCTCCTCTCTGGCGGCCTGCGGGAACCTCACTGCCTGGGACGACGGCCCCACAGAGGACGGATGCCGTGTCCCCAGGGACAGGGGCAGGCAAACCTTTTCTGCTGAGGGTCGGAGAGTAAATAGTTTAAGCTCTGTGGGCCCGACGGTCCCTGCGGCAGGCACGCAACCCAGCCTCGTCTCGGGAAAGAGCCACCGACGCTGGGTGGGTGGACGGGCGAGGCCGCCTGCCCTCGACTTCGCAGAAGTGGGCTGTGGAGTGCGCAGCGACAGGGTCAGCGAGCGGTCACCAGGGGCCGGGGAGTTTACTGCGTGCTGGGTTCAGAGCTTCTGTTTGGGGCGGCGGGAACCCCGGGACAAGGCCAGCGGGGAGGGTGGCGTGGCAGAGACAATGAACTTCATGCCATTGAATGACTTGTACGCTTCACGATCGGCATGCTCGATTTTATGCGATGCGTGTTTTTAACCACGCTAAAAAGGGTTAAAGTGGCAAATTCTATGTTTCATGTATTTCATAAAAAACAAGAGGCTAAGAACATAAGAATAGCGGGGGGCTAGATGTGGCCCGAGGGCTGCTGCTCCCCGACGGGGGCGGAGCCTGGTTGAAGAACACCCATTCGCCCCAGCCGATCCCCCGGTCTCTCGTTTCTGCACCCCCCTGGCACCCGGGCGCGGCACCTGGCACACCACAGGTGACCCTAACAACAGGATCCCGTGCCCCCCTTCCACGGGGCCGCCCAGCGGGAATGCCCGGTGGGCCGAGGCCTCCCGGGGTTTGGGGAGCCCACGTGTTCCTCCACAGCCCGGGGGGGGGGTGCCCTGCTTCCTCGGGACGCCCACCCCGCTGGCTCAGCCCCGGCAGGCAGCCGGCTGAGGCCCAGCCCTGCACCGGGCTTTCCTCATCGGAACGTGGTGAGGCGGGCCCCTCGCACTTGACACATTGATTTTTTTGGACACTAACTGCAGGATTTAACACAGAAACGCTGCTTGCTCCCACGCTCCATCATTTTCGCCTGCCAGGACCTTTGGGGACCCCGAATCTGTCATCTATTGTATCCGCTGTCCACCCAGCTTTTCGTCACCTGGACACGACTTCCAGTGGCTTCACACATTGTCACTAAGTCCCTGATGGGGCCGCGGCAGGGCAGCCGGGGCTGCCATCGGACGGTCAGTCAGTCAGCCAGTCCTCTCTGGGCGCTAGGGCCTGTCGGTGAAAGGTCGCCTAGGTGGACAGTCACCATTGGCCACTGCTCTGCAGCTCCCCCACACGGACACGCCGGACAGGGCAGCTCACGCACGTGGAGCTCTGCCACCTGTGACGTCAGCAACCCTGTCGACAGGGACCTGGGCAAGGCAGCACGACTTGTTCCCGGGACCCGTGTGGGCTCCGGGGCCCTGGCTTCCCGTCTAAGTGCTCAGAACCGGCCTCGGTGGCTGGAGGAGACAGCTCCCGGTGCCGCAGCACCTCCCGCCTCCACCCCGAGATCGCCCGGACCCGGACCCGGACCCGGACCCGGACCCGGACCCTCCCAGCCAGGGCACGGGGCTCTCGAACCCGCTGCTGCCCCCACAGGCGAGGGGAACGAACACACAAATTAAAGGCAACTGGACTCTGACGGAAGCACGGCTCTCGCTGTGCAAACCAGCCCAGCGACCACAGAGAACGCAGGTCTCACGTGAAGTCACGCATTGATTTTGAAACTCGACCTTCCTGACCGAGAGTCGGACGGATGGGGTGGGGGGGCTTCTCGTGGGGACGGCCGGAGCTGTCCACCCACTCAGTGTCCCCAAGTGCGCAGCCGCCGGGGGACGCGGTGTCCCCTCCAGGATGGACCTGGAGATGCCCGCGGCTGGCGGCGGCTGCGGGAACTGTGGAGCGGGAGCCCGGCGGAGCGGAAATCTGCTCGGTCTCCAGCCCGCGGGGAGGCCAGCAGAGCCTGCATTCTCAGATACCCCAGCACACACGCGCTGAAGCTTCAAATCCGCTCCGTAGGAGGAGCTCAGAACCGCGTCGGGCTTTACGCTTTGGAAAACCTGCGCTCCCCGAGTTTTCCTGGCACGCTGCGGGTGCAGAGCCTGAGCCTCTGGGACTTTAAGGGGCTTGCTGAAGCCCCAAGTCACGCCCAGCTGCTAGGGCTGGCGCCGCTGCTGCAGCTCACCCTTCCCGCCCGTCCGGGGCGGGCGCGGGCCAGGGCACCCCGGGGAACCAGCCGGGAGGGGAGCCGTGTGGCTTGCGGGAGCACCGGGTTGCTGGTGCTTAATTTAACAGACTTCACCGCCTGCACGGAGGGGACGCCGTCCCGGAGGTCTGGGGAAGCAAGGGAGCCCGTCTTACCTCGTCAGTGATCTGGCCTCCAAAGGTCACCCATGTTCCTGGAAGGAGACACAAGGGCTTCAGTGAGAGAACCGCCCCGGGGGGGGGGGGGGCTGACTCGCCCCTCCCCCGGTGCTGGGCCTGAGGCTGCAGGGGGCGGAGAAAGGGCGCCTGTCTGGAAAACAGTGAGGACAGGCAGGCCCTCGCTCTCGATGGGTGGTGTGTGTGTGTGTGTGTATGTGTGTGTGTTGGGGTGCACAGTGTGTGTGCAGGGCGTGGAACGGTAGGGTCATCGAGACCCAGGAACGGGGCTCACATCTTGAGAAAGAGGGAAAAGGCTGTATCTGGACCCACCGCCCTCTCCTAGGCACCCCCTCCTCATTACCATGGTAACCGGCCCCACGGATCCTCGCTCTGGGGACCGCTCCCCCCCCACCCCGCCCCCCAGGCCTCCCACAGCCCCCGCTTCCCCGGGTGGCTCTGGGCCAAGCGGCCCCCACACTCACCGAGCCCCAGGCAGGAGACCCGCAGGCCCGACTTCCCCAGGTTCCTGAAAAACGAGCACCACGTGAGTTCTGGGTGGTCAGCGGGAGACCCGCCAGCCAGGCTCGGCCCCCCGAGGTTCCCGGGGCCAGCTCCAAGAGCCACGCCCCCTCGCCCCAAGCCCGTGCCGTTTGGAGGCGCTGACGGTGAGGGGGACCTTCAGAGGAACCTGCCGCTCGCCTGCCCTGGGAGTGAGGGCCGGCTGCCCCCTCCCCGCACACCCGGGCTCAGCCTCGGGGCTGGGATGGCCACGCTGGGGGCCAGGCGGGGCCCCCGCAGGGAGACACACTGGAGCAGTGTGACCGTCTCCCCGCAGAAACGGGACTGGTTCCAACCCGCGGTACCGGCCTCGGGCGTCCTCCTCGCCTCCCTCATTGGGTTTCTTGCCCCGTGTGACTTGGAGCGTTTTGCCCCCCGCGCTCCGAGCGGCGGAGCAGAGGTCGGCCCCGTGTCACAGGCCACGCGGCCCAGGGTCTGTCTCTCTGCGGTAGGAGTGGGGTGGGGGCTCCACGGTGGGTGCCGCTTCCTGGGCTGAGCCCCAGCCTCTGTGTGACACCCCCGCCCCAGGCCAGGGCCACGGAGGGGACGAGGCCCAGATACCCCAGCGGCCAGGGGTCTTGCCCCAAAGGAGGACACGCATCGCGGCTGGTTTCTCTGTTGGGGAAGGCGGGCGGCCCGGGCGGCGGCCCTGAAGCCAGAACTGGTTCCAGACCCTGGTCCGCCCTTGCCCGCCGAGTGCCCTTGGGCCTGCCCAGCGCCCCCCTGTGCCCGTCGTGGGGTGGGCTCGCGGCCCCGCTCTCTCCGGATGCGCGGTGAGGCGGCACAGGGCCTGGGGCAGGTGCTGACTCTGCCCCGTGCCATTTCCGAGGCAGACGGCACAGGACGCGGGGCGGCGGCCTTTGTCCTCCCACGGACACCACAGACAAACCAAACAGGCCCCAGGTGGGAGGTGCTACACAGGGACGGCAGCCTCCCCTTGTCTTCCCCCGCAAATCAGTGGAGCAACTGACCTGCTGGTGCCTCAGCAGGGCTCGGACCGTCCCCCCCGGGACAGCCTGCCTCTGTGACTGCCGGACAGACGGACGGGGGGCAGGGGGGGCTCGGCCTCGTCTCCGGCACACTGGGTCACCACGCCAGGTGTGCTCACCCGCAGCTGCGGGAACGCCCACGGCGGCTAGAGAGGACCGGTGCCGGGGCACCCGAGCCTGGCGCGTGAGCGGTCTGGCAGCGCGGCAAAAAGAGCCGGAGGTTCTGATCGGCGGTTCCCAACAGAGAGCGGGTCAAGGACCCCTTTGAGAAAGCCGTTCCCTGGACACGTGCGGGGACACGGAAACGCTCAGGACTTTGTTTGCGATGCCCCGGTGTTCACGGAGACAAATCCAGGTGCTGGCCTGGGGCCGCGTGCCGGAACGTGCTGTGTGTTCGGGGGGCGAGCGGCTTCAGCAACAGACAGGTGAGGACACGCAACAGGGGGCTGAGCCCACCTGGCCTCTCGCCCACTGGGTGGGCCAAGTTTCTCCCCCGCCCCGTCCCCCCACACGCCAGGGCAGCACCCAGCGCACGTGGCTCCCCCGCTGCCCCTCCCCCCGCTGCCCCCAGGGACCACGCAGAAAAACTAGGACGCCGCGCAAACACCACAATTACCCCCAGCAAGTTTCCCCCGCTGACATGATGGTATTCGCTCTGCCACCCGCTGCCAGGCCCAGGGAGAGGAAATGCGAAGGGACAGGGTGTCTCCGGGCGGCTGCGAGCTCTGAGCCCGCTGCTGGGGGGGTGGGGGGGGGGTGGGGGGGGGGTGTTCTGGCTGCTCCATGGGGGTGGGGCTCTCGTCCAATCGCAGCCCTATCTGGACCACGGCTGGACGGACGCTTCCGCTCGGACTTTCAGGACCGAAATGTCATTCCCTACAGACTCTTCTCCCCTAATCAGAACTTGACGCAGCGAAAAAGTCCTTAGCTAAATCTCTAAACCCCAGTAATGTCGGTCTTCGTGAAAGCGGCTCCTGTCTCTCCTGCGGTCTGTAAAAATGTGATGGAGGGCTTCGCCTTGCAGGGAAAAGCGTGGGGCCCGCCCCCGGAGGCCCGCACCGCCAGACACACCCCCGAGACGCCGGGCAGGTGCGGACTCCATGACAACAGTTCGGGAGGACTGACACTGGGTGTGTGTGGTCCTGCTTCCTCCAAGGCTGGGCCCCCGTTTCTGCCTGCCGAACCCATTGAGCATCTGGGCGGGGCCCAGGGTGGAGACGCAAGGGACAGCTGGGGGTCCCTGCCCCCCGACCCTCTCCACGTGCAAGACACAGCGAGGCGCCCTGGCACCCGGGGGGCCTGAGCCCCCCGAGAGGGGACATGTGACAGCCTGTGCCATCCTCACGCTGCGGCTGAGCCTGGGCAGGACTGTCCAGGTGCGGCTCAGGGCCCCGCAGAGCCACAGTCCTGCCTGCAGAGGAGCCTGGCCTGGGGTCTGGTAGGGGCCGGGGTGGGGGGAAGGTGAGTGCCGTCCGCGGTTCACCCAGCAGCCTCACTGCGAGGACACCTGACCTCCCACGGGGCAGCTTCTGGGGCCCCGTGCGTCCAGGGGAGGGCAGGGCCCTATGGCCAGTTCCCGGGGTTCCCGGGAAGAGGAGGCATCCCAGAGCCGATGTCGGGGGCTTGGCTTTTGAAAACCCCGCCCCAAACAGAAACAAACAGAGGCAGAAGGACAGGAAGCCATCGTGCCCTCCCTCCCTCCACCTGCCTGCAGGCGTGAAGAAACTTGGGGTGACCTGAGCCTCGATTTTAGCTCTCACCCTGCCTGCCAAGGCTAGAACAAGCCCCTTCCGGCCTCGCAGTTCAAAAACTGCCCAAGTCCGAGGGCATCTGCAGGTTTTACAGGGGGAGCAGGAGGGGGAAGGCGGCCCCCCACCCAGCAAAGCTGTCTAAGCCTCCTACCTATGTTTCATCCCCTGCTGCTTCACGCCGGCGTCACCGGCGCTCCGGTGGCTCTGCACCGACAGCTGTCCCAGGCTCCGGGCCACCATGGCCACAGCGCGGAAGCGGCCGCGGGTGCCCAAGCTGGGGCTGCTGGCTGCCGGCCGGCCTGGCCGCTCGTCGGGGCCCCGGGCCTTGAGGCTGTGCTCGGAGCACGCGAAGGACACCTGCATGGTGGCTGGTGGGGGGGTGGCTGGCACTCAGCTCCCGGGCTGGGGCCCCCTCCTCCCGGGCTCCGCAGTCATCGGCACTTCTCCGCCCGCCCGACAGGATGCCGGAAGGCGGAGGGGCTGCGAGGTCTTCCTTCCTTCGGGAGCGAGGGCTTCCAGAGCCGACGATGGAGAAAAGTGGTTGCAGCCTCCCGGGCCAGGGAATCAAATTTCCAGAAACGGGCTGGAGGAGATGCGTCAGAGGGAACTCGGCCGACTCTCACGGGCTGCCACCTTCTGCCCCCTCACCTCTTCCTCGCGGCTGAGGTCCCTCCACTGCCCCCACACTGGTCTGGCTCTGGCCGCCGGCCCCCAGCAGTGTCCAGCAGGGCTGGGCTGCCCCTGACTCCTGGCCAATGAGCGACACGGTGGCCTCTGACGGGAGGAGGAGGGAGGGCCCCTGTGTGGGGCAGCGGGCAGCGGCCCGGGGTTTCGGGGAGCAGCTGCTTCTGCAGGCTTCCCTGGGTCTCTCGGAGGCAGCCTGGCGTTGGCCTCCTGGGGCTGAGCACCGGGGGCAGCCGGGTTTCCCACCAGGCCAGTGAGGTGGCTGGTGAGAGGTTCAGGAGGCGCCCGGTGAGTCACTAACGAGGGGGTTTGCACAAGCCGCCGCCCTGGCGGGTCGCCGGGGGTGGCACTGGCCGCTGGGTCAGGATGCGGAGAGGCAGGCTGTGCTGCCAGCGGACGTGAGTGGCGGGGCTCGCGGGCTGTGGCTCTGGCCGGCTCCACCTGCTTGTGGGTCTTTGCCCAGGAAAAGGTGGCTCCCCTGGGGCCTGGCACGAGGAGAAGCCAGAGTGGCGGAGGGAAGGCCACTCTGTCTAGATGACAATGACCCGGGGGTCAGGGACCAGAGGCCTGAGGAGTTCTGGCACTTACACAGGACTCAGCTCGCAGCAGCTGCTCAGCGAATACTTCGGGAATGAACGAATGAACGAACGAACGAATGAACGAACGAAGACCCTCCATCCCATCCTCCTTTCCCCCACGTGTGGCTCATGGGGCTCTCTGAAACCCAGAGAGATGTCCCCGTTGGCCCCCAGTGCGACACTCCCGTCCTGCAGGGTGGCCCTTGCCAAGGCTGGCCGCCCTCTGGGAGGGGCGGGGCTGCCCCGCAGACGGGGTGGGCAGGGTTTTGTCAAGGCTCCCCAGAGCTTGTCACTTTCCACTCGCCCAAAACTGGGGTCACGATTCCCAGTCCTCGTAGACAGTCACAAGAATGAACGGGAGTGGAACGCGGAAAGTTGAACCCCCTGACTTGAACGTGCCACAGTGAAATGTCACCCCCAGAGGCCTCTCCTTTGGAACGTGTTTAGGTGGAGACGGGGGGTGAGTCCTAGTTGGCTGCAAATGGGCCTCAGGCGGAAGCATGGGGCGTGGAGGTTCAGCGTTCACCGACAACCGATCTCTGGGCTCTTTTCCTGCCTCCCCCGGGGCCTGCTGTTGCTAAAGCAGAGCAGCCAGTGGCTGCTGGGATCGGTCAGAGGCGCAGCCACCGCTCTTAGAAGCTCTGTGTCCCTGGAACGCCACCGAAGGCAGCCTCCTGGACCACAGGCTTCTGGCTCAGCCACCTGGGCCCCTATCCCGCGTGCCCAGGATGGCGCGGAGAGACGGGAAAGCCGGGGTGAGGGCGGGCTCCCAGCAGGAGGGGCAGACACCCTCCCTGCACAGACGGGCCCGATCAAGAGTGAGGACGAGGCCCTGGCTGGCGTAGCTCAGCGGATTGAGCTCGGGCTGCGAACCAAAGCATTGCAGGTTCGATTCCCAGTCAGGGCACATGCCTGGGTTGCAGACCATGACCCCCAGCAACCGCACATTGATGTTTCTTTCTCTCTATCTCCCTCCCTTCCCTCCCTAAAAATAAATAAATAAATAAAATAAATATAATCTAAAAAAAGAGTGAGGATGCGGGGCTGCGCCTGGCGGGGCCGGTGCCCCGCTGTACCGGTCAGGCTGCCCTGACTGTGCTGGATGGAGGACGGTGGGCACCCAAAGGTGCCCTTCGGCAGAGGAGGAGGGGCGGATGCTGACAAGGTGGGGGCTGTCCCAAGCAGCAGTGGCCCGGGAGGCCCTTGGCCCCTGACGTTTCTAAGAGCAAAGGGCGGCAGACTGGTGGGCTTCCTGGAGGAGGTGCTGTCTGGTGGGTGGGAGCGGAAGGAGGGCTGCTCAGGGGCTGCGGGCCGTGGCTCCCCCCAGCCCACGCCCCCGTCCGGCCCAGTGCTGCCAGCCTGCAAAGGTGACGGCGGCCTTCTTTGGAACGGGGGTCCTAGTAGATGTAGTTAAGGTGAGGCCGTGCTCGACTGAGGGGGCCCTAATGCCATGACTGCTGTCCCTGCAGAGGGAGACCCAGAGACGGACCTGCACACGAGGGACGGGGTGCCGGGCAGGGGGAGGCAGAGGCTGGAGGGGCGTGTGTACAAGACGAGGAACGCCAGGGGCCGCCGGTGCCCACCAGGAGCTGGGGGCGATTTCGGGGCAGGGGTGGGGGAGGGGGCGAGGCCCTGCCCACGCCCACGTTTCAGACTTCTGGCCTCTGGGCAGCGGAGAATACCTCTGGCCACTGGCTGTCGTCTTATGCCGCCGTCCATACAGCCCTTTATTACGGCCGCCTACGGCCACTCAGCGCCACCGGCCTGTGCTTACAGGACTTAGAATGTTCTGGGTGCCAGGAACAGATGATGGCCCCGCTCTCAGTGGGGTGCAGAGGGGCAGAAACGAGGGGAGAGAGAGGGTGGGAGAGGTGAGGCGGCCCATGAGTCAGGATGGACGGTGGGCGTGGAATGGCTCCCTGGGCGTTGATTTGGGCCAGGTGGTCGGGAAAGTGTCTCCGAGGACGCAGGCGCCCCTGGCGGGGGTAAGCGGCCGTGTGGACGTCCAGGGGACGCACCTTCCAGGCAGAGGGAACAGAGTGTGCGAGGGCCCTGAGGAGGGATGGGCTTGAACCCCCTGGGTGGGAGGGAGGGGGTCAGACGAGGGCCAGGCAGGGCCTTGTGGGGAGTGGGGGTTCATTCCTGGTGCCGCGGAGCCGGGGAAGGACAGGTCTGGGGTCCACAGGCCCCTGCCTGCAGCCACCGCCTGAGGCCACACCTCCACCCTCCATCTCCGGGGCTAGGTGGTGGGCGGGGGGCACAGGGAGGGGCAGCTTCCACAGGGGCGTGTGGGTTTAAGAATTCAGGGCGTTTATTTTAAACAGCAAGGCGCGGGGGCAGTTAAGAAATGGGGGACGTGAACAGAAAAGGTCCTCCCCGGCTGCGGGGCTCCGGTCGGCTGACCAAGCACACGGGCCCACGGCCACGTCTCCCTGGGCCGCTGAGCCTCCCTCGTCTGCGGGCGCTGTCTTCCTTACGTTTAAGACCAAGTTCAACCGGGTCCCGGCCCGGCCGCTGACAGGGATGGGCAACTGTGGGACGGCTTTTATCTGGGATCTTTAATAATGGGGGGCCACCCTGTTTCCCGATAACCGGACCCCCTGCTGCAGCAGGATGGGGTCTGCCAGAGAGAGACGGGCTCCCCCACCAAAGCTGGGGTGATAAGCGTTGGCCTGCCCAGCACTACAGGCAGATGGTGCTCCGGTCAGCTCTGCGCCTCTCCTCCGCAGCAGCCCCCCCCCGCCCCGCCACCCAGGGAGTTCAGCCTGGTTCAGATGGGCTCCTCAGGGAGCTGGGCAAATGAGAGGTTTGTCGCCATCCCCCCATGTTAGTTTCTCGGGGCTCCCATGACCACGGGCCACCAGCCAGGGGTGCTTCAAACCACAGAAATGGGCTGTCTCCCAGTTCTGGAGCCTGGAAGTCTGAGGTCGGGGTGTCGTAGGGCCGAGCCCTCTCTGAGGGCTCTGGGGAGGCCCCTTCCACCACCTCTCCCAGCTTCAGGGTCACGTCACTCCGGCCTCTGCCCCCACCGTCACATGGCCTCTTCCACGCGTGTCCCTGTGTGACTCACACGGACATAGATCACTGGGACTTAGGGTCCACCCTTCTCCAGAATGACCTCATCTTGAGTCATTGCATCTGCCCTGTTCCCAGTACACCCCGTTCCGCGGCTCTGGGCAGACGTGACATCTTGGGGGACAAGACCCACTTCAGTGGTGCGCCCTTGATCACGGGCTGTGTCCACGAGGGAGGGGGCTGGGGCCTCCCAGGGGGTGAGGGGTGAGCTCTGGCCACCCTGCTTGGTCCCCTTTCCCGAGTCGTGACCCCGTCCCTTGGCCCGGAAGGTTCTTCCCCACATCTTCAAATGTCCCCCCTCAGAAGGTGTGGGTCCCAGCTGCCCCCGGCTTTCCTCCGCCTCCCCCCAACCAGGATGTTTGTGCGGCCTCTGGCTGGCAGCCTGGAGCCAGGGAGACCCTCCGTAAACATTTGCTGCATTCACGAAAAGCGCCGGTGCCTGGCCAAAGACAGAAGCCGTGGAGTCTCCCCCCTCCCCCCACCTTGAGAAACCCCCACCAGACTAGGACTGCCCTGCAGCCCGGCCAGCTGGCCCTCGGTCCCCCCCTCGAAACAGCCGGATATGGAGCACGGAGCCTTGAGAATCCTGCCACCTAACGGGCTCCCCGCGGAAGTGTTTCCGTTTCTGTAAATCACAGCCTTGCGCTCAGACGCTGAGCCGAAGGCCCAGACACTGTGTCCCCAGGAGACCGTGTGACGGCCCAGGGCCGGCCTCTGCCCCACTCTGCACAGACCAGCCAGGTCACTCACCCCTGGGCCGGGGCTGGGAGGAGCCAGAGACCACGCAGGCCGCCCACAGAAACCTGAAGGTCACATAAACAGCGAGTAACTGTCTAGTGTAGGTATGTCCCAGATACCTCATGGGACACACTTATGCTAGAACAAAAGTTGGCTGTTTGTTTGAAACTCAAGTGTCCGCGGGCACCCTGTATTTATTGGCATTTGCTGAGTCGGTCGACAGCACACAGATGGGGCAGGGAGGGTGCCTTTGGTGACTGGCTCCGGCCAGGGCTCGTCCCTGGGCGGCGCGGGGCTACAGAGGCGATTCAGACGGGGAAAGACCAGCCCTGGGCGCGGGCCCCTCCCTGAGGCCGGCAGCCGCGAGAGCAGGCTGGCAGGAGCGCTGTCCCGGGTGCTGATCTCGAGGCCGAGCGAGCGAGCCACACAAACTGTCCTTCCGCGGTTCCGGACAGCCCCACCTGCCTGTCACCTGGTGAACACAGGGACGCCCTGTCCGCAGCCTTTGCCATGGTGGTC